CTTTCAGTCATCTGTGGAAGATGCAAGAAGACGAGGTGACCCCTGTTTCCACTACACGCTCCTAGATCAGACCTGGCGCGCCACCAACACCACCAGCAAGCTGAAGACGTGTGATCGGCAAGTAGACTGGAAAGGTAACCGACTGCACTTTCTTTATATGTAGCATGCACCTATTTCACTAAAAGTAGCAATGATATTTCAAAAAAAAAAGATTAAATTTTTCATCTTCTATTGGAGGGTGGTACTGTCTTTTCTACAAGGGTAAAAGTCTGCAGATGCCTGAGAGGTGCGTCCCTGTGAACAAATGTGGCACCAACTCCCCGCTGTGGCTGTCCGGGCCTCATCCAAGGATCAGGGATGGTATTGTGACCCGCAATGTCTGCGGCAATTTGAACAAAAGATGCTGTGCTTTCCGTCCGTCCGTCCCCCCATCAAAGTCAAGAAGTGCCCGGGCAACTATTACGTCTATCAGTTCACTAAGCCAACATCCTGTTATTTGGCTTACTGTGCAGGTATAAATGAAAAAATGCATTAATATTGTGCACATTTGTGGGAGCTTTTGGATGCTAAAAAAGTAAGAAATTAAACATCCACTTTCACCCATAATCCATATTTATCCTGATTGCTGCAAATGTATACCTTTTGGAACCGTCTAATTCCTGCTAAGAGCAGTGCTTTTTAGAGGCCTTTTCAAATGTTGCTGAATGTGTGTTCTCCGACGTCAGCAGGCTCGTGTGCGGGCGATGCAGGAGAAACCAGTCCTGTGTGAGCAGAGATAAGATTAACTGGAGATGCAAGACAAACAGAAGTAAGTAAAGTTTTTGTCAGTTTGAATGTGTCGGGATGGAAGGCCTTGGATGTCTGGGGCTTTTATTCTTTTCTGTTTGGTGACAGCGTGTCTTTGTCAATCGTAATGCAACTTATTGAATACTAACATTGATTAATATGGGCAATCAGGCACAAATAGTTGCATGCATTATTGTAAAGCACTAATTTGTTACTAGTTTGTATCTATATAAATACAAAAATTCAACATACAAAAGCTTCATTAAACAACTGTGTTTAAACATTTGTATTACTTTAAGAAATATTAAGATACAGGTGAAGACTTCGTTTTTTGCTCCTCAAACTTTAATTGTAAGCAAAAAAATTACTCATTTGGTATTAAACATTCTTAAAGCTGGAGAATCTGCTACATAGTTTGTGTAAGAATGATTAAGATATTATCCTGTGTTTTCCATAATACACCTACAGAAATTGCTGCAAGGTATATATCTATTTGTCTTTGTAATAATACTAATAAGATTACCTGCTCCTCAGTGTCTTCCCAAAAGATCCACTTCTTTGCGTCTTATCCAGCCCAAATCAATGGCAAACTGAACAGGATCAAGTACAGCAAGGTGCTGGTGAATGTGGGCCGAGCCTTCGACAGGAGGACTGGTGTGTTCAGGGCTCCCGTCAAAGGAATCTACCAGTTCTTCTTCTCCACTCAGACAACCATTAAGGGCCTTAAAACTGATCTGTGGCTAGTAATAAATAATTACTGGGTGGCCGTTTCTCGTGCACATGTTCCCCGTTCCTACAGTGTTGGAAGCACATCTACATACATGACTTTCCTCTGCAGAGGGGCTTCAGTCTATGTCACCCACAACTGTGGTAACTCCTGGGCCACCGCTGCATCCATGACTATTACATTTGGAGGCTCACTGCTTTTACAAAGTAAATAATATGTTTAAAATGGTGCTCATTGATGTAGTGTGTCACTTTTATTTGTTTTTGTATTTTAGCAAAGAGGAGATAAGGAAAAAGTTTGTTCTTTCTGTCAACAGATTCACGGTTGTTGTAATTTATTTCATTATTTTTGCTAATGCTAACTTGTGCTAAATCAACCAGTTCCACTGTATTAACTACTCTGTGTCTGCTTTGATGCTTAAATGAAAATATTAATATTAAAAAGACTTAAGAGTGATGTTACTGCAATTTATACATTCATTTAAAATTCACTTTCAATTCAGTTTTATTTATAAAGCCTCAAAACTCAGCAAGGCACTTTATTTGGTAAGAAATCCCAACAAGCACTATGTGACAGCGGGAAGAAAAAGCTTTTCTCAACAGGAAGAAGCCTCCAATGGAACCAGTCTAAGAGAGGGCGAGCCATCTGCTGTGAACGGCTGGGGATGGAAGGAAAGAGAAAAAGGGGGGGCTTGGTTGGCCGGGCCAAACCCCGGGGGTTGGAGACAGATGTGCAGCGGTAATAGCAGGAGCAGGAGCCATAGTACAAAGTCGTGAGGAGAGTAGAAATGTGCTGTCTGGTACAGGAAGTCCTCCAGCAGCCTGTGTCTACAACAGCATAAAAAGTGATGCTTGAGTCACCTGATCCCACTCTAACTATAAGCTTTAGCAAAAAGAAAAGTTATAAGTCTAATCTTAAAAGTGGAGAGGATGTCTGTCTCCCAAATCCACCGGCAAAGAGCTGATAGCTGAAGGCTC